TATACATATTAGTATTATTTGTCTCTTGGGTTCCTAGTGGAACATAAGACTTCAGTAGCGTGTCTTCATTTCAACCTGTTCTCGTCAATCTTTGGAACTCGGCTCCATGACTGCCCAGAAGCTCTCATTTCTTCCTCAAATGATCTCCTCCATGTCACTATCATACGCCAGACTCATCGTCTCCCCTTTGCCTCCCGCTCTAGTACCTGGCCTGGCGCGTGCCATCTCCAAATGGTTCTCTCAGTGTATGCCCGATTCAATCCATATCCACTTCCTTCGGCATATTTGTTGCTGATGGCTTCTTGGTTGATTCGCGGCCAGCCACCCAACCACAGTTCCTCCTTCCTTGCTTATTCTTACCATTCTCATCAATCACATGATCTCCAGTATCGCGTCAGCATAGGCGGCAGCTGCTGATGTGTTGCATGTCTGTAGTTTGTTGGAAATGCATTTGGTAACACACCAAGTCTCTCAACCATCACATAGAAGCACTAACTTACTTCACATCAGTGTTGGAAATACCGATCTACTTCGTTATGCTCTGCACATTGCAGTGCAATACATCTACACACCAATCATTCCACATTATTAAAGACTTGTCTTGCTGCAAAACCAATCCTGATTTCGACATCCTGGTCTGTGCCACCCACCATCTGTAGTTGAAATGATGCTCCTATGTAGGTAGGTGAACGAGACTACTTCGTTTAGGTTTCTCCTGTTCATGGTGATTAGTGCTTGTTGTTGATGCTGTTGGTTGGTTGGTTGGTTGGTTGGTTGGTTGGTTGGTTGGTTGGTTGGTTGGTTGGTTGGTTGAGTATCTTCATTACCTCTGTCTTCCCTACATTCACTGCAAGTCCAGTTTTCACTATCTCGCCTCTTCTGTCAACTTGTCGCTTTTCACCTGTAGATATTCGAGTTTGTGCGACATAAAACATCAGACATAAATCATCATCGGCGAAGGCCAAATCTTCTTCTGGCGTCTTTTCATCAGTCCACACACCATATGCCCATCTTCTCACTCCTCACAGTTTCTTGCCTACTCCAGTCCAGTCGACCACAATCAGGAAGATGATCGGTGATAGTAGGTGACAATCTTGTCTCACTCCTTACTGTCTTCACTTCAAACACATCACTGAACTCCCATTGTGAATCACTGGGAATGTGGCGTCTACATATAGCTGTTGAGTGAGGTTGATGTAGGTTTGTGATACTAGAAGCGTAGTGTTGAAGCAGGTGCCTGCCAAATTACTTCTGTGTCGACGCCTCAAACGAAGGCCTTTTCGAAGTCGATGAAATTGAGGTGGTGAGTGTAGTGGACTGTCATTCCCTGTTCTGTTGTGTGATGATGCATAGCGAAGTATTGTAATTTGATCCACACATGATTTGGTTTTCCTGAAGTCAACTAGGAGAGTGCTTTGGTTTTAATTTTGAATCCAACGCATCTTTTGATTTCTCCAGGATGACGTGGCTTAATATTTTGCTTGGGTTGGAAGTACATAAAGTCCTATATACTTACTCCTCGTCCTGCCTGTAAACTGAAACGTAGAGATCTTTGAGTGAAGGGGATGCTGGTCGTTTGATAAAACAACTCTTGCCTAATTTTTACCTGAGCTAAGTTGTTTGTCCACAACTGTTTTTCACTAGGTGTCGAGGTACACCACTAGTCCCACTGAAAATCTTCAGGGTTCTATGCAATATAGATTACTCTTTTTTTCAGCAACCCAGAAAAGTGTGTAGTGGAATAATAGGGGAGAATAGGCAACGGTCAGGAGTTTATAAAATACCAGAGAAGAGGCTGAGTTATATCAGGTACTCACAGCTTACTAATATAATGAGTTGATCGGAAGATTCTTTAGTAAATTATTAAGGTATGGGATGACCATAGAAGGTCTAAAGAACAGCATACACCGAGCTGAGTTACACTTTTAACATTCTCTAATACACAGCTATCAATAGAAAAGGAAGGATACGAATTAAGAAGCCTACACAAGTTACCTTCACGTCTGAGACTACAGTTTATTGTCTAACAATCTGAAGAATTAAGCACAAGATCATTCACGGTGGACCACTGTCTAACAGTAGGTGGGAAATCGTTCACAGTTGGAAACAGTCTGTTGAAGAGGAAACAGGTATGGAAAATATCAGGCCACCCAGCATATTTGATAAAATTGATCGTAAGCAAAGACGGTAAGTCATGCAGGAAGAAAGAGAAAAGAGATAGGCAGAGGACGGCACTTTGGGGAACACCAGTGTCAGCTAGGTGTGAAGTGGAGCACTTTCCTCTATGAGAGAGAGAGAGAGACAGGGATACAGTCGGATGATTATCCAGGACCCAGTATTTGTGTTAAACTCTCTGTTGTTGTATCGGATACCAGTCATCCCACCAGTGTCACCTTTTAGTCTTGATGTACACATAAAGAAGTACTGCACTTAGCTTACAACTGATCAACTGGATGTAGCAGGGATCAGATATTCGCAGATTAGTGACTGAGCGGTTATTGAACCTCAGATATTTTCAAGTTTTCGCTTTCTCTAAAAGCTGACTGTTTGGCTTCAGGAATTTTTCTTCTTTATAGAGTCATATCGATTCAATACATTCAGCATAAACCATCCACCACCAATTTACTTCATCGAATAATGTGTCAGTAATGAACAGACATACAGGCGTTCATTAGCCTGAAACCAGTGTGGAGATCTTCTACACTGCACTCACTATGTGCAACAACATACACATTTTCAACACAAACCTCAACTCAGTGCTTCCATGTGATGGTTCACAGACTTGTCGCGTTACGAAAGGCAGTTCCAACAAACTACACACATTCATCAACAACCGCCCTCTACACTGCATCAACACTCAAGATCACATGAATCGCCACAATAATCAGAATAAGCAACTCATAAGGAACTCACTGTGACTGGCTGCCAAAGAACCAACCAACAACCTATCACTCGCTCAACAAATATGTAGTAGGAGGAAGTGGATATGGATTGTATGTGGCATTTAGTGAGAAGTCCTAGTGTGGACATCACTTGTCAGGCGAGTTAGTCGAGTGTAAGTCATATGGGAAACGACGAGTTTTGCGTGCTAGGTGATGGTGACATGGAGTAGATGGTGTGAGGTTGTGATGAGAGGTTGTTGGGAGTCGTGGAGGCATGTTGAAAAGATTTCAGAGAGAAGAGTGGACTGGAGGCGTGCTAGTGAAGCCTTATGTTCGATTAGGAACCCAAGGGACTAATAACAATAATAAAAAATAATGAACAGACATTTTAAATCCAGGAATTCTTTTCTTTGATATTTCGTCTGAAATTATGAATGAAACAGCCACAGGGTGCTTACAATATCTTATCATTGATTAGTGTAAGCTGATTGCACCCTGTACTCCTATTGCGTCAAATTGTTATGATTAACTTCTACGGAAAAGTAATAGAAACTCTATTGTTTTTTTCATTTTGCACATATCTCAGATAGAGTTGACAAAAGCAGATGAATGGAGAGATTTTAGAGATCAAGGTTGACATAAGTGTTTCAAGTTCAGATGACATCAAACAGTCACTTCATCCGGTTTTCATTAATGTCAACTAGAGTCTGTAACTATAGATTAGTTTCATCGTGGGGACCCCAACCAGGCAGTCTGTACCTCCCTAGACAATTCACAGCTACAGTCAGACACCTAATACTTTGGTATTGCATCTTAATCTAGCCATGGTACACCCTTTTCCGATCCACTCTACATCAGTTTTTTTATTATTTTTCCCTTGGGTTCCCAGTGGAACGTAGGGATTCAGTAGCACGTCTCCATTTCACTCTCTTCTCTGCAATCTTTTGAACCTCACTCCATGACTGCTCGCAAGCTCTCATTTCTTCCGCACATTATCTCTTTCATGTCACCCTCACCTCCGATGCCCAATTCACCGTTTCTCCTTTGGATTCCACTCGAGTACCTGGCCTGGTGCGTGATGTCCCTATACTCTACATTAGTTAGGATTGGATAATTGAAATAAGGAGGGGCTCAGCATGCGAACAAGGAGAGTTACCTATGTTGAATTGAAGAATAAAAAGAACAGACAGTGGCTTGGATACTACTGTCTACAGAAACCAACACATTCCAACAGGTATCCAGACTTCAAGTCATCCCATCCAATGTCAGTTAATGCAGGTTAATCAATGTCTAAATGACACAGCTAGAAAACTGACTAGTCAGTGCAAGAACCTAAACAAGGAAATGAAACACGTTAACGAAGCACTAATAGTTAATAATTATCCTCCCCAGTTTATTAAGAAATTCCTACGAACGGTAATATGAATGCAAATAATAGCGATGGCACAAGTAGAAAGGATTGCACAGCCTACATTGTATTACCCTATAAGGAGGGTGCCTCAGAAACTTTACGTAGGACCCTCAACGGAGCTGGAATTAGGGTGGTATTTAAACCTACAAATCCAATCAGAAATAAACTGTCGACTGGCTTAAGGATCTGATAGAACCAACTAAGCAAAATAATCTAATCTATCAAATTTCATGTAATGACTGGTAGGTGAAATACATAGGTCAAACTAGCCGATCGGGGTCAGTTAGAGTAGCGTAACATATGAATTTAGCTAAATATAGAATGACATACCCGAATAAGATCAGTAATCTAGAAGGAGACTCGGCTATTAGAATGCATGCATCAGCGCACAAAACCACACAAAAGGGTGGGATAAAACCAATATACTTGTGTTGGGAGAGAGATTGATTACTGAATCTTTGTTCATCTAATCAACACTCAACCCAATGTATGTAATAGAAATGAGGCAACACATACTAGAGATATGGAAAATCTTACTACCAATAGAGACAAAGAATATTAGGTGACAGGAGTATAAAAATTGTTTGTTGAAATTGATGTGATTACATTGAGGTATGATTATGAGCAATGATAATTTATGCTGAAAACTTCGTCATCAAGTGAATAATACTGTACCATTATTGTGTATTATAAATCAAATAAATAAAGTTAATATGGAATTTCGATAACGCTATTAGAAGACAAAGATTATCTGAGCAATGTGATGTATTTGCGCAATACATTTCGAAATATCTGCTCAATCACACATTTACTTGTCAAGTCAATTTATATATGAAAATTAAAGGTCAAATATAGTGAATATGAAAAGGTTGTGACACTAGTCTTGGTAATATAATCAGATTGCCAAGGATTACCAAGGTAAATTAAGTGAAACAACAAATTGTTTTTGTACACACAGTGGGGGATTAAGTTTACGAATGGCTAACGCTTCGGCAAACTTCAGTATGCCCCCTGATTATTCCTGTATAATATCTTAAACGCTGTTTTCGTATTAACCCTGTGATTCATTTCAATAATATGTTTTGCTATAGATGACGATGGATGTCTGTCACCTGCACTTATCAAAGTTTGTGTGTTAAACTGTTTTTCTAGCCATTTGGGATGCGTTCACCCACCCTAGTCTGCATTGAACGATTACTCCTCCCTATGTATGTGTGCACACACATACATGTAAATTGGTAAACGCAGTAGGATGTGGTGTAATCATTTGTGCGAGGTTGAGGTTTATGGCGAAGGCAGTGTTTTGTCGTCTCAACAATGATAAGCTGAGCTGCATAGTATGTTTTACTGATAACAGATTTTAATCTCTGCTTCAATATAATACTACTTGTTTCCCCTCTGTATGGTACTTTAAGAAATATGCTTTTCTTTCAGGACCGAGGAAACTGTAGGCTTTGGGGTCAACTGTTTTTTACAATGGTTGACAAACTGTAATGGATAACCGTTTTCCACTAGAGTGTCTGTCGGAAACTTATTCTCATCATCCATCGTATCAGATGTACAAATACGTTGGATTCTATTGAACAAGCATCTTACCAAGCCTCTATTATATTTCATCTGACAAAAACTATGGAAATTCAAATACTGTCCTGTCCAAGTAGACTTCCTATGTATTGATCGTTTTATAGATCCATCTTCCCTCCGGCACAAGAGTATATCAAGAAATGCAAGTTGATGGTCTTTTTCTTCCTCACATGTCAGACTGATATGATCTTGTATGGTATTAAGCCTTTTTAACAACCTCTTAGCATCCTCATCTGTGTCACATATTACAAAGATATCATCCACATACCTTCTATAGAGTATGACATTGGTGATTAGATCTTGAACCATTAGTTCAGTAAGTAACATATATACATCAGGTAATAACGGTCTTAATGGACTTCCCATGGCTACACCATCAATTTGCTGAAAGTGTTCACCTTCAAAAGTGAAATGAACCTTATCAGTACATGTTAAAGGCAGTTCTTTCAAATAAGTTGAAGGAATAGGGAAAGAAGAATGATTCGAAGATATGTGGTAGCAAAGAATATTAATTGTCTTCGTTAGAGGCACATTTGTAAACAGAGAGTTAACATCAAAAGAATACATTTTCTTATTTTTAATATTCAAATCAGTAAGATCAGGGGGCATACTGAAGTTTACCGAAGCGTTAGCCATTCGTAAACTTAATCCCCCACTGTGTGTACAAAAACAATTTGTTGTTTCACTTAATTTACCTTGGTAATCCTTGGCAATCTGATTATATTACCAAGACTAGTGTCACAACCTTTTCATATTCACTATATTTGACCTTTAATTTTCATATATAAATTGACTTGATAAGTAAGTGTGTGATTGAGCAGATATTTCGAAATGTATTGCGCAAATACATCACATTGCTCAGATAATCTTCGTCTTCTAATAGCGTTATCGAAATTTATTAAAGGGACTAATTGTTTCAAAGATCACATTACTACTCCTTCTGTTTATCTACATATTTTTTTCTGAAACTTGAAGAATGTAGAGGTCAGGCATAACTGTACGTCTAATATAACATCATAAGCCGATATCTTAGTTTTTTGTGGGTAGGTTTTGAGTCAAAATTTAGTTGGTTTCTTACTGCCTCCACTGCCATAATTAACACAAAAAGAGGTTACAACTAAGATGATTATCTTTTCGACGACTCATTTCCACAGAAGCACATTCTTGAATAAATATAGAATGTTGCAGACAAGTTTCTTGTATAGCGTCAAACTTGATCGATAAGCGCGTGTGTGTGTGTGTGTGTGTGTGTGTGTGTGGAATGAAATGACATAACGCACCACAAAACATGATCTAAATGGCTTTTTAATAAAGTGCAGTGAACAGTAGGATTCGACACAGATTAAAAATAAACCATATACTAATAAAAAAAAGAGGTCCAGAGTACCTTAGTAAGATCACGGTAAAGAGAGTTTTTGTAGACGTCAATTACCGAAGCTTCGGGTGTACATAAGTGTATAATCTCGACCCCCTAGTGAACGGTTTGGTTCCATTTTTTAGCCAAATTTCGATAAGGTTTCCATAGAAGACAGATGTCCAAAGTCTACGAAGCGTCTAGCGATGAAGCTGGAGGCAATTTTGTGCCCATCCTTCAGCAAACAGGTTGGGTAATGTTCGCGAAAGCGTTTTTCAAGCGAGCGCTTGGTACGTTTGACGTAGTCAGCACCAAATCCTCAAGTAAACTTGTAAATGCACGTTGATGAGGAAGCCCAATGCATGAGCTTGTCTTTCATGGGAGCACAATACGGAGGTTCATAGCACTGGGTGTTCTGCTCAGAGATTTTAACAAACGTTGACGAAATGTATCCCCGCCAATATCACCTCTGAATATCAGATTCATTTCAAGTCTTTTCTTCGGAGCTGTCTAAACCTCTTCCATGGTTTTTTCGTTAGTGGTTGGCTCTATAAACTTGTATGGGCAGTTATTCTATAAGTGCAATTTTCGAAGGGTTTCTAGATCTTGACCTACTGTATCATCACTGGGAACCTTGACGAGAGTGAGCCCACAAGATTCCTCTTCCTACCTGAAGGCACCCAACTTTGAAAGCTAGTCATTTGCCAGTCCGAAGTGAACTCTCTGCAGATACAGCTTTGAACAGAATTATCAGACTTTATTGGGAGTTTAATATCCAGTAGATGAAACGTCAAGTTTGATCCAGCTTCTGGTGTAAATTTGATTGAAGGGTGATTGTCGTTGGAATTTTGAATGAGGCGTGTCAGGCCCAGGTTCTAATCATACCGAATGAAGGTATCGTCCATTTATCTTTTCCACACATGAAGTTGATCGATTATTGGGAAGATTATGCTGTTCTCAAGGCAAGCCATGAAGCAGTTGGCAAGCAGAGATCCAAGAGCATGTCCCAATGCTACACCATTAATTTCCCTTTACATTTACATTGATATTTAATTGACAGTTAAATTGCTGCCTCAAGGGAGTATATAAAACGTTATCATTTGACTGCAAACCCTATTTATAGGAATGAAATTGACTTATATATCAGTATTGGTAACTAGCAGCAGAGTCCAGGACGCGCATTTCATCCTACTCGGGACTCGTCAGTTGTGCGCAGCTGCATCCCAGTGAACGAGGCTCTTCCCTTTCCTACTCGGACCCAGCACCCATCGGCTCAAACGCCAAAGGTGGTGCAAGTTCATTCAACCGACGAATCCAAAATAGGAAGAAATGCAGTTACTGCGTTCCATTGGTAGTTACGTATAATGAACACCGTCTCGAAATGAATCAGTTCCCCACAAAATACGATTGAGTACTTGTTCATGACTTGCTTCGACTTTGGTTTATCAAGTTTTTAAGGAAAAGGCACGATATGTGTGTTCAATCGAAATCTGGATTCAAAACATTGAATCACTGAATTCCAACCCAGCAGCTGAGTGCTCGCCACGAAAGTTGACGGTGCTTGGGTATTACTATCATGGGGTTGCGGTTGCTCACTATTACAGAATCGAGCTTTGTGACGAAGCACCTCTCCAATGCTTTCAGGTTCTCAATAGTCTTTTTGTGTCATTAAGGCATCTGACGTTCTATAACAACCCCTTAAATCGACCGACGAAGTTAAACTATAAGCGGAAGCAGTGAGTCGTATTATTTTTGGAGCTATTGAATATGATATGAAATCAAATGCACTCCACTGTGTAAGCCACTCTAAAAAGTACACACTGGTTTAACAGTCAGCCATCTTTCATTTAAGGACTTAATTTAAACGAAACTGATTGCTATAAACATTGAATGTATTGAACATTGATCAGTTCACTGTTTAGTTCTGTGGTGGAAGTGGTAGTGATGGTAGTGGTAGTGAAAATAATTGATCCATATCATATGACCACATTGAATTACACTTAATGAATGTATAACGGTTGAATTGATTGACAGAAATCTAATGGCCCAGATTTTCTACTTGTTAGAACTTGTCGACAAGATTTAACTACATCATTGAGAGAAGTGATGCTCTCTGAAAAGAGGAAATTGATACAATCACGGAGTTATTTCTTTCAGGATTAACCTATAGTAGGGAATGAATTAAATAATTGTATCTATGTCTAGAAAGTAATCAGTATTTATCTGGCCTAGTCCCACGTCGTGAATGAATTCTGTTCATCAGGTGGCCTATTAGAATTAACTATAATGGCTGCAGCATGTGTTACACATGCCTAGTCACCATCTGTTTCAGCGTACAATGATAACTGAAATAGGTTTAGATAGGAAAAAATTGAAAGTAATCAGCCTGAAATATAACATCAGCTCCTGAAGTCGTTGAGGTATGTAGGAGAGTGCAGACTTCCTGGTTGGGATCCAAGTTATCTCACTCGATGAAGTTTCACAATCTTACCTATTGATCTGCTTTTCTTGATTAGTATCCCTCGCTTGATCTTAACATAGTTCACACAGTAATTGCACGCCAACGTGGTCAAAGTGATGAAGACACCTGTGACGGCAATCACATATTATGATATTAATATGTGTCAGTGTTACCCATTTCATGGCTTTGGTTATCCATTTTTGGACTTTTTCATCATAAAATCTATGTGTGTAATTCCATAGACCATGTTTATCAACGTTGTTCATCGAGTGATTATCTCAACAACAATCAGCTATTATTATTATTTGTCCTTCGGGTTCCTAGTGGAAAGTAGGGACTCAGTAGCACGTCACCATTTCACTCTCTTCTCTATGGTCTTTTCAACATGGATCCACCACTGCCCACAGGCTTTCATTTCTTCCTCACACAATATCCTCCATGTCAACCTCACACGCCTAACTCGTCGTCTCTCTTTTGTATTCCACTCGAGGGACTGGCCCGGCCTGGTGCGTTATGTCCACAAATCGTCTTCTCAGTGCTGCCCAATCCATCTCCAATTGCTTCTTCTGTTTATTTGTTGGACGATGGGTTCTTGGTTGGTTCGTTGCCAGCCAGACAGAGTGAGTTCCTTGTTCCTTACTTATTCTCATTATTCTGGTCATTCATCTGATCTTCAGTATAGGGTGAGCTTAGGCGGCGGCTGTTGATGTGTTGCTTGTCTGTAGTTTGTTGGAAATGCTTTTCGTAATGTGCCAAATCTCCCAATCATCATATGGAAGCACTGACTTACTTGGCTGAATTAGTGTTGAAAAACCGGATGTTTTTCACGCGTTATGCTGAGTTCAGTGCAGTGCAGTAGATCTCTACGCTGATTATTTCAGATTGATAAAGGCCTGTCTTGCTGTCTTTTCAATCCCGTTCCTGGCTTTGGCGTCCTCATCTGTGTCACCGCCACCGCCTGCAGTTGAAACGATGCTGCCTTGCCTAGGTAGGTGAAAGAGATAACTTCATTTACATTTCTCGCGTTCACGGTGATTGGTGCTCGTTGTTGATGCTGTTGTTGGTTGGGTATCTTCATCACCTCTGTCTTCTCTACGTTCACTTGAAATCCCGTTCTAGCTGTCTCGCCTCTTCTGTCAACTTGTCGGTTTTCGCCTGTAGATCTTTGAGTTTGTGTGACATTACACATAAGTCATCATCGGTAAAATCCAAATCTTCTTCTGGCGTCTTTTCATCGGTCTAGCCAGCGTATGTCTATCTCCTCGCTCCTCAAAGTTTGTTACATGATCCAGTCCACCACAATATCCACTTCTTACGACTAGTTTAAGAGTAAAATTTACTTTCTAATTTTCACTTGTACATCATCATTTTAAATTGGAATAATTAAACCAATGAGTTACAACTAACACATTCTGTTCAGTGGTAATATGCTCACTAGATGACCTGATAGTTTTTAGTTGGATTCTTCATGAGGTTGTTTAAGCATATTGTTGAGGAACCCTATACTAGGCCTAAAAACTTGTTCAATGCTTTTGCAAGTGATGAGTAATGACTTCTAATCTCAAGTTATTTTCACTT